TAAATGTGTATTATCATTCCAAGTGATATAGGCACATAGTAGGCACTCACTAAACACTTGTTATATAAATGATCTCAGTTTACCATGCTCACTATGTAGGTTACTACTGAAATTATTTTGGCTTCTACTTCTTTTTCAAGTATTCAAGGGATTTTACTGAGCTACTCAGCCTCAATGTGATTAATGAAATTTCTAAGCATGTTAAAATTGGTGCGATCAAGTATCTTGGATCTGAAACGAAGGGGTTGTTGATTGAGTAAGCTTATGTCTCCTCTGACTGAGGCCAGATGCAAAAAAATAGACTCTCTTAACATAGGTTAAAGTTTCTGATTGAAGATACTCTGAATTGAACATGCAGGCACGTAATAATGTGTTTTATGTACTTAACCAAGTATTTATGTCCATATTTTAAGTCTTGAGTCTTCAGTTTTCATAAATAAGTGGATATGTACAATATTCTTCAGGTTTCTGCTTTGTTTAAATGATGCGGTTCTTTATACATATAGAAATATCCTAGTTTAATTGTTTCAGTGGGATTTCTCAAGTATCCATTTTGCTTTCGAAATAGAGTCACGATCATATTTGAAAGCATTTTAGATATCAATAATGTATGCCAGGATTTTGAACATATTGCTTATCAAGTTAGATCTTTTTGTTTTTCTGTGAAACATCTCAGAAACTAACTTTTATATGTCTTTGATGATGAAGGTGTAAACTGTGATTAGGCAAACCAGTGATGAAGGCTTAGGGAACAGAAACCGCATCATACCTCATTAGGTCATTGTTGTCATAGAGACAAAACTATATTTACCTAGACCTTTTACAGTGTAAGTGGTCAGCAGAAACTGGAGAGATTTGCAGAGATACAGAGGAAAAGCAAAATTATATACTTTTGCCAACCATACTCTGATTACTCAACGTATTTTGGGAACTGCTGGTTTTGAAACTTCTTCCAGTCCTTGTGGCTAAAAGTTGGAAGATGGTTGCCCATTAAAGGTGAATTTGTTTGGAGACAACAAAATCATTTGGAACCAAATATATGGAATAAAATAAGTATAATTTTTTTCCTTTGATTTAAACCTATTTGGGACTAGTAAGTAATTAGTTACTTGTCTGGCTCTGAAGGCAGTTCAAAAGTTCAAAGGCAGTTCCATTGACAGAATTACAGCATTGTTGGAATAAATATTGGCTGAATTTGCTGAATAGTAAGGTAACCTCCCTAGGTGACTATCTTGAGGAACAGTGGTCTTTTGAATATTTAAGACTTGATATGCTTGTTTTAAATACTTGTAGTCCCACCAGGCCTAGCATGCCACCAGCAGGGGGTGCCAAACACAGAACTTTGAGAGGTGCTAAAGAGACTTTGCAGTGGCCCTTGAGATAGCCATTATGGGCCTAGAAGAAGCAGATATTTTAACAATGGTATTACAGTTACTTGTTGACCTTCCTCAGTTTTTTTAAGGAGGTTAGATTTTGGAAGTTGGAGACCATGGTTTGGAGGGGGTATTCATGGAGGTCACGACTGTCTAAGCCATCTCAAGCAGTTGCATCATTGTGGTTGTATAACAGACTTGTGGTGTTATGTTACCAATTTTTCCATTGGTTTCCTCATTTGAAGAGTCTGCTTTTCAAACAAAGCTCTGGTTACAACAATCAGAAAAGCACTCAAGTTGGTTTAGAAAGTAGGGGTGAGAAGATAGCGCTTTTTCTGAAGAAAAAGAAATAAAGCTTTGCCAGGCCTCATTGGGACTGCAGCTAAAGGACTCCACTGAGGTAAATACTTTCCTGGCCTCTTGTCTCTGCTCTTCCCTATATAGCCACATTTTTGTAAAGATAGAGTCTCACTTTGTTGCCCAGGCTGCTCTCAAACTTCTGGCTTTAAGCAATCCTCCCACCTGGGCCTCCCAAAGTGCTGAGATTACAGGCGTGAGCCACTGTGCCCAGCTGTTTTTGTTGTTGTTGTTTTTTAAGGTGATGAAAATGTTCTGAAATTAATTGAGGTGATGATTGCACAACTCTATGAATACAATTAAATTGTACACTTAACATGGGCGAATTGTATATATGTGAATTATATCTTGATAAAATTATGTGTGTTTTTTTAAGTCATTGTCTGTAAGTGACGAATGTTAGTGATATTCATGTGGTGCTAGTGATCCCCTACCCAGCCCTGGTGGTCTTTCCACTGGTTGGTGCCTCTCCCTGGAACGCTGTGCCTCCCATTTTTTGCACACAGTTACTTTCTCACTGAAGTCTAAAATTGCAAATCCACCTTTGGCTGGCACTTCTTAGCCTGCTTACTTTTCCTTTTCACTATAGTATGTATCACCTCCTAAGATAATATACAGTTTACTTGTTTATTGTGTTTATTGTTTATTATCTCACACACACACACACACACACACACACACACACACACACCCCAAGGCAGAATGTAACCTCCATGAAAACAGGGATGATTGTTTTGCTCACTGATGTATCGCAAAGGCTTGGCACAGGTGCCTGGCATATAGTAGGTGCCCAATTATATAAAACACCTACTTCTAAAATTAACTTGTATCCAAACCATTTACTCTGTACTTACATTGTTGCCCGAAATACTTTAAGGAATAAAATTAAAATCATTTCTGATTATCAGATATGAAGATATGAAACCCAGCATTCTTCTCTAGGCCTGTAAACCTTTATGTTAGTGGAAATAAAGTTAAGGAAGGCATTTTTTCATCATTTATCATTTACTCAGTAAATATTTATAAACCATTTGCAATGCCTCAGCCCTCAGAGGCAGCGTGGACCAGCAGGAAGAGCACTGGTGAGTCCTGAGATCTGGATTCAGACTTGAGTTCAGTCATGAACCTGCTGCATACTTTTGGCAGATACATATTTCCTAAGACCTTGGCTGGCCTATTTATAAAATTAGTGGTTATACTAGCTCTAACATTTTATTATCCTACTACAGGTATTTGATTTCTTCTAACTTTGACATGTAAAAATTATTTTAAAAGCATATCATTCTATAATTTGATTAGTTTACTATTTGACACTAAAGTACTTAAGATCTTATTTGCCTCTTCCCACACCAGTACACACACACGCGTGCGTTCACACAGACACACACACACATATGCATGCATGGCATGTGCATATTTCGAAGGTGCATAGTGCTTAAGAGCAGAGTTTGGCCCTACTCTGTAAATGTGTTCAGAAAACAATATAACACAGATACTGAAGGCAGCTTGTTTTTAACTTGTAGCTAAACATGACATTCAAATGTTAATTGGATGAATAAATCTTGTTCATTTTACAGACATGGAAATGTCAATGGAATAAAACTATTTATCACAAGATAATGGTCTCCCACCGCCAGATAAATGCCAAGATGAAGATACTTATTGAAAATGTATCAAAATATTCTATTGCTATTTATTGAAAATAAAGGTCGAGGAAAAGTTCAACTTTTTAGGTCAAACATGAGAAATGTCCTGCTTATGATATTAGTTTAGTACTATATCAAAGATGATATACACGGTATAGCAACATGGGAAAATTCTAAGAAATAACAGTCTAGAAATGAATCTTTTAGGTTTGAGAATTACTAGAATGATTGTGTGAGGGCTGGGAGGAGATTCCTAATATTTATTGAGCTCTTATTGTGTACCTAACACAGTCCTGGGTGCATTCACTAATGTAAGCCTCAAAAGAACAATACTCAGAAAGGATCATTTTTCTCATTTTGCAGGTAAAGTTAAAAGCAAAGTAATTTGCACTCACATGGGGAGTAAGTGCCAACACCAGGATTTAAACTTAGTCCAGATTCCAAATCTAGTGTTTTTTCCCCCAACACCATACATTTCTAAACTTATACTAGAAAGTCTTAATACAGTGATTTTTGGAGCTCTTGAGTAGATTATTTCCCTTATGCTTTGTTGCCCTTGATGACCAAATACTTCTTTGATCTAAATATTCAGCATATTGCTATGTGAAATATCTTTAAGTGATATCCTCCATTAGCCCAAAAGAGCACACCCCTGAGTCTTGAGGGCCTTATAGCTCTGAATGGAGCAAGTTATACCGGATTCTAGCATTAAGATACTTTCTTTCCAGCAGTGTATGGTTTGAAATCTTTAGGTGACTTCTTCTTTCTACTTTCTTTTCAGAACTTAGATACCTATTTTTCCACTTTACTTACCTTGTGTATAATGTAAGTGCCATAGTGGTCTTTGTAAAACATTGTTTGGGTGGATACAGATGGATAATTGAAACAAAGAAAAAGAGCATTATTGTTCAATAAAGCTTTTACTGCCCTGTTCATGCCAACCCTGTTCTACTGTCCCTTCCCACCCCAAGAGTCCCTTTCTCTGCCTGCCATATACACCAAGTATTAATATCTCTCTTCCTTGGACCATCAGTGAGCGTCAGTCTTCTTCAGGCAGAGACCACTCTACTATAATATACTTGTCACAGTTTCCTCAGTAGATGATAGGCTCATTGTTAGGAGAAATTGTGTGTTTTTCTTATCTCTATTCTCCATGGTACCTGATGGAGTGATTTGGACATTATAGATACTCCATGAGAATGTGAAAGATGCATGGGTATGGCTTCTTTGTTTTAAGGACTAGAGGAAGTACGAAGGATTCAAAGTATTCATAGTGCACCTTTGTGAATATGGGAATCTGTTTGTCTGTTCCTTTGCCTCTGCTTGTATCTGTCAGTTCTCTCTAAAACACATTTGGATTTTATTTATTTTGTAAAATTCCTAGAGGCAATGAATGGGCAGATAATTTAAATGCTAGATGGATACAAAGCTGAGATGCTTGAATGTTTAAATTTCCCTCAGGAAGAAAATAGTAATTCATATAGCACTCTCTTGATATATAAATAGCATGTGCACTGAAGATCTTTCTAAAAGTCATGATATTCTTCCAAGAGTTTTAGATTGACACCAAGAACCATTGTGTCACATGAATTACTAACTCAATCTTTACCATGCACTTTCACAGATGGGAGACCTTTAACTCTGAAGGACATATGGGAAGGAGTTCATGAGTGCTATAAGACGCGACTGCTACAGGGACCATGGGACACTATTACACAACAGGTCGGAGAGTATTGTCATTTTATTGTATGCATTTTATTGTATTCTTTCCCTCTGTTCATCTTTTCTTCTAGTTCCCTCTCCCCAACTCTTTTCCCTATTTCACTCCTCTATATCTTTACATATTTCACCTCAAAGACAGTTTCTTTAAAAACACCTTCCCAGACCCAGTCTTGGTTTAGCCACCCTATTATAAGCTCTCAGAGTGTGCTATAATTATCCTTTAGGATGCTTATTCCGATTTTAAATTACATATTAGGATGATTCAAAAAAAATCGATGTCTGTTTTTTCCACTATACAGATCCTCCTTGACTTACAATGGGAATACATCCTGATAAACCCATTGTAAGTTGAAAATATCTTAAGTAGAAAATGCATTTAATACACCTAACCTACTAAACATCATAGCTTAGCCTAACCTACCTTAAATGTGCTCAGGACACTTACATTAGCCTACAGTTGGACAAAATCATCTAACACAAAGCCTATTTTATAATAAAATATTGAATAGCTCCATGCAATTTGGTGAATACTTTACTGAAAGTGGAAAACAGAATGGTTGTGTAGGTATCAAAATACCTTCTCTTGAAGGTGTATCACTTTTGCACCATGATAAAGTCTAAAAATTGTTAAGCTGGACCATCCTAAGTCTGGGACTGTCTGTACTGTGAGCTCTCATATAGGCGGACCATGTCTCTTTTATTCTTCATTGCACATGCAGCACCAGCACAGTACTTATCATGTAGTATGTGCTCAATAAAAATGTATTAAGCAAATGAACATAGAAACTAAGTTGGCTTATACACTAAGAAATACATGATTTGCCTTCTGTAATCTATACTGCTTTACAGTTTTACTCATAGATACATTTGCAAAAAAGAGCTTTTGATTAATAATATGGTTGCAATAGTGATTTGCAAAAGTAGAGAAAATAGATCTGCAAAAGCAGATATAAAAAGTAGATTTGCAAAAGTAGAGAAAATAGATTTGTCAATCATATAAGTCATTATTACTGCCTTGCTAAAATCAGTAGTTAATTATTTTGGAAATTAAAAAATACTCATCACCTTGCAACCAATCATAATCTCCTTAAAAATAATTTTTACTTATATCAAAAATCTTATTTTTTCCAAGGTTCTGTTGAGCTTAGTGAAAGCGTCCTTTAAAAATTACTTTATCAGTTATTAGAATTTTTATGCCCTCTTATGTGTTTGATCATAATGACAGTTTACCTCCCAATCAACATGAGAATCCTTAGCATCTCGTAAGTAGTTCTTTAACAATGACCATTTTCTAGGTTTTAATTGAGGACAAAACTAGCTTTAAGTATTTGTATCTTTCACACTGCCTCTCAAATTAATCTTTTCTCTTCCCACTATCACCCTCCTAGATCAAGCCCTCTGACCTCACGTGGAACAATTAGTAAAGCCTCTTATCTGTGGTCTTCTGCTCCTTTCCTCTCTGCCCGTTACCTGTAGTCACATCTTTTTAACCACCGCTATACTTATCTTACCTGTGCTCTAACCTGCAGTAGTTTTCTGAGGGCCTATGGGATGTGGTCTAAATGCTTTGCCTGGGCATCAGAGGTTGCCGCTCCCTGGTTCCAACCTGCTCTTCTAAGTTTATCTTCTACTCCTCCACTCTACACAGCTCTTGCCAAACATGGTTATTCATCTCTCTATACTCCTCTTGTGCCGTTTGTTCTTGTGATCTTTTCTAGATCTAATGCCTTCCCTCATTTTTCTGTATGCATTACCTCTTACTACCTGTCCTCTCATACACCCCTTTCTCTGAAACCAACTCAGCTGACAAAAATGGCCCCTCTGAAATCCAAATCTGTAGACCAGGCATTGGTGGTTGCTATGAAGAAGGATAATGTGAAATATGAGAAAACCAACCCTAAAGATTTGGCAAGAACATTTTAGTTTATGCAAACTATTTTAGATTAACCTTTAAGTATATCAAGATGAGTGCTAAGAGTTCCAGCTTCTAGTGTCTTGTCAATGGCCACAAACTGCACAAAAATTTGTGTTGTAGAGTCCTTATCCACAAGACGCAGAAAATATTTGGTTGTAAGAGTCAAGAAATATGGCAAAAGATAGAGGAAAAAAGTGTTCAAAAATATATGTGTATTTAACTTTACACCCATTTATTAACTCTTTCTCAATTCCTTTATACTCTTGCATCCAATTCTTACCATTTTCCTTTTCTGTCTCTAGCAGATAATTAATCTCCTCAATGCAGGCCTGTATATAGCACAATTTCTAGTGGTCTATGATATTTTATATTTTAATTCCATGTGTCTTGGTTCTGACCCATGACATAAGAACAAGATTTTGATACAATGTTGCCATAGATTTCTTTTTATTGATAGAACTCTTACAGTGTTAAACTCACCACTGAACCAATCTGTATATAGATTGCTTTTAATAGAATTGACTAATGTCTTTCATTTTATAGTTATTTCACTGTCACACAGATAGCCTATTAGCGTACCATCTTTTTCCTCCCTATCATAGTATGGTATTACAGATCAAATCCTATCACAACAAGCATTACTATTTCTAACACCAAGGCTGGGGCTCACTTAATACGAGGGATATTTGATATAATCACACTACAACACAACTATAAAACTTAGGTGATCCTTTGGAATTGATCTTATTGGGATTTGATCTGTGAACAGATATCCTACTTCTAATAACAATGTTTATTTAAGCTTTAAAATTGCTCATCACAGTGCATGTTGAGGCATTACAGATCAAGTAAGGGAAACTTATTTGTAGCCATTGCACTACTTGGCATTTGAGAATCATCATGAATATTTCCTTTGGAGATCTTGGCTTTTAATCCCAGATTGGTTAATGGGTTGGCATTTATGGTCTCTTCTTTGCTTGAGATCTTTGGGAGAATGGGTCTTCATTTTTCAGTACCACATACGAAGAAAAAACAAGGTGTCCTCAGTGAGATGGAAGGGAAGAAGATGATACAGCACTAAGGAAGAATGGGCTGATAGAATATTGGTGGTGTTGAATAGTAGACACCATTTTGCAGAATTATACTAAGGAATCATTAGCTTGCAGACTGAACATGATAATAATATGCTGTCCTCCAGAGTGGCTTAAAAACAAAAGCAGCCTTTGCAAATATAAAATGCATTACACTTCATTTTCAGGCCTGATTGTGCTCATATAGTTTGTTGCTCTTCATCTTTAGTAATCACACTTCTGTTCTTTCAGCATTTGTCTTGATGATAAGGACCTATTCATGTCAGATGTAAACCCTCTCTTTTGAAGACAAGCCACTCATAAATCTCATACATTTGATTATGGTGATTACTTACCTGCTTTTGTCCAATGTTACAGACTACCTATTATATCAACCCTGTAGCTTAATAAAAAAACTTCTGAAAGAAAGTTAACAGATACTTAGGTTGGATTTGCCTTAATTGTTATAGTGAGTGTTACAATAATAATCACTGGAAGGTGTTGGCTCTATGTTTTAAGAAAAGAATTCCTTTGATCTTGGCATGGCCTAAAGTCACAAGATAAAAAAGTGTACCTTCAGTTTTACTGTAAGATAAGTGTGTTTATGTGCAGGGGTGTGTAGTAGTCAGATGAGTAATTTTTTCTTACTGGATTCTTTTTTGGAATTTTACATTATGGAAAATTTTAAACACATATAAAAGTAGAGATAATTGTATAAGGTGCTTATTAGCTGATGAAGAGTTTGTTTTTTTCCATATCTCATCCAGTTAAGAACTTTTTTGAAGTAATTCCTAGCATCATTTTATTTCATCCCTACATATTTAAGTATCTTTAAAAGATAAGGGTTCTACATGAATGTTCATATCAGTTTTATTTATAATAGCTCAAAATGGAAAAAAAAAAAAACCCAGGTGTCTTCAGTGGGTAGATGGTTAAACAGAGAATAGCATACCATTAACATGGAATACTACTCAGCAATAAAAAGGAACCAATCATTGATACACTCAGCAACCCGGATGAATCTTCAAATAATTATGCTGAGTGCAAAAAGGCAATCCCAGAAGTTGCAGAGTGTTTGATACCATTTCTGTAACGCTTTTGAAATGACAAAATCATGGACCAAAGAACAGATTTGTGGTTGCCAGGTGATAGGGAGTGTGAATGGGAGGGAAATGGCTGTGGCTATTAAAGAAAACATGAGGGAATCTTATGGCAGTGAACATGTTCTGGATCTTCACTGAGTCACTGTCAGTATCTTGTTTGTGATATTGTACTATAGTCTTGCGAGATGTTACCATTGGGGGAACCTGGATAAAGGATATGAGATATCCTTTTGTTTCATTTAGAAAATTTTTAAAGTGGAGATGGGGGTCTCACTGTGTTCCCCAGGCTGGTCTTGAACTCCTGGCCTCAAGTGATCCTCCTGCCTTGGCCTTTCAGAGTGATGGGATTACAGGCATGAATCACTGCACCTCATCTCTTTATATAATTTCTTACAACTAAACATGAATCAACAATTATCTCAAAATAAAATATTTAATTTAAAAAGGTAAGGACTCAAAAAAACATAACTACAACTCGATTATCACAAATAAAATTATTAATTTCTTAGTATCATTAAATAAGCAATTAATGTTTAAATTTCCCAAGTTCTTTTTTTTATAGTTTGTTTATATCAGGATCCAAAATAAGGTTTACACATTAAAGTAGTTAACATATCTTAAGACTTTTGGAATCTTATAGATTCTCATTCCTCCATCTCTTTTTTTTCCCGGTAATTTTTTGTTGAAGAAACAGGTTGTTTGTTCTGTAGTGTTTTGCAGTCTTGATTTTTTTTTTCTAATTGTATTTCTGTGGTTTTTAGTATGTTCCTCCCTGTGTTTTTTTATAAACTGATAGTTAGATCTTGAGGCTTGATCAAATTCAGGCTCGATTTTTTTGGCAAGAATACTTCATGGTTGTTTCTGAGTATGCCATCAGGAAGGACCTTATGTTTGGTTATCACTCTTTTTTGT